GGGCACTATTAAAACATAGTGCCAGGCACAAGCCTGGCACCATGTTTAATAGTATGTGTCCGGCACTTGCAGAACCCTAACCGTAATTAGTTACGACACTAGTTACGGCTTAAACTGTAACATTATTGGGACGATCCAGTGCATCACTAATCATGAATAAAAAATTAGTGCGTAACGTTAATTAAGTATCATACATTGCATAAAGATAATATAGTAGAACAAAATTACGTATTTAATGGCGATGCCGATTTACTGTATGTACCAATAGTTAGACGAAAGATTAATAACTTGCAGTAAATCAATTACGATTGATTCTGGTTAACCGAAATTAACTTTATTAAGAATAAAAGCATATAAATTTATATTTCTATTTTCTTCACTTCTAAAACTAAAATTATCCCTCTTAAAATCATTCAACGGATCAAATTCTCAATACAATCCTTACAAATGAAATCATCAATTACCCTTCTTATCTTTATTATTTGTATCCTGGCTTTAAAACTTTCAAAGGTCGATGGCTACGTTGTCAGAGATCATCATTACTATGGAGATAACCTTTTTAAATCCGATGAGAAGGAATTCGAACAAAAATAGAGCTTTCCGATCCGATGAAATTTAAACCTGTATGTTGAACTTAACTCCTGTGTTCTACATTAATTTCCTTTGATTAGTTATTGTTTATAATATTAAAAGACAGGTCAATTCTATAATATTTATTTGTTCATTTTTTTGATGTAATCACAAAATTTTAGGTCTTTAAAATAATGAATTATGTCTTTGCGGATGACAAAAAAAATCCGACAAAAAAGTTTACTTTCGTAATTACAATTCAAAAAAAAAAAGATTTCAGAAACATTATCTAATAAACATATAATTTGAGCTATACTTTTATGAACATATAGTATAAGCATTTAAAATATTAAAATATTAAAGCGAATATTATGTTGAGACTTAGAATGCAATTCACGTTTAGAGTTAGCCTTTATACTAAAACAGCGATAAAAAAACATGTATACATCTTGGCATATATAAGCAGTAGGTCAATCTTAACAACTTAGACAGCCCAGTATTATTTTTTTATTTTTTTTATATAGCAGGAAATTGGACTTTTAAGAGACGGTTGAGTACCAGCCCGCAACTATAAATTTAATATAAAAGTGATTATGGCTAGCATATTAGGTACTCCAATTGATAAAGTGCATTGTATCTTAAACCGCTAGGGTTTCAGTCATATGGGTTTTAGGATTGATTTTACTGTCACTTGATACTCGGAAAACAAATGTTAAGCTAAAAACTTCGTTTATACTTAGGTTAAAGTTTGGGTTAAAGGTCCAGTATAGCAAAATTGCACAAGGGAATTTTGTTGATAGAATTCCAAAGATGGTTTGCTAAATAAAATCGGGAGAAAAATGTGACTTTTGCGTTGCGAAGCGAACGTTTGTTTGAATTTCTTTATGTTATACCTGATCCTGATTTTTTAATTGGCTGATTGACGTCGTAAAATCACGTGATAGTGAAATCGATCCTATGCTCATGTCATATGGGCTAAAATCAGTAAAATTAGAACCTCACTAAATTTCGGTTAAGCCCATTATTTAAATTTTTTGATTGGTCTGACGAATTATTAACGTTTGAGTAATTGGTTTAATTTAATGAGGCTAGTATTCCGAATTGGTAAAAAAATTTTTACAAATCGATTAGTTGCCAACTATACGTAGTTGCAACCAATGTTGTACACGGACATTGTCCAATCAATTTTACAGGGACACGGACAGTCCCGGACAATGTCCCATGAACGCAATAATGTTCCGGCAAGGCAAGTAGCTGCTTTTTAAAAATTTTGACTTGCTCTAGAAGTTATCTTAAAAACTTATTTTATCAGTGACAGCAATTGTTTTTATTCTGATCAATAATGTCTACTAGAACGTTCAGTGAAACCAAATAAATGTAGTAATGTGAGATAATCTTCAATTAATTTACTTAACACTACAAAGATTATATAAAATTAAGCAAATTATGATAATTAGGTTTGAGTGAAGAGGAATGAAGTAAAAGAGCTTTGAGCCTTACTCTTAGAAATTTAACCGATGTTCAGCTCCTGTCCATAAATTTTTTAGGCTACCTATATAGAATTTAATCAGAATTGCTTATTGAAGATATATGATTGTAGTTATTTTTGCAGATCAAAAATTGAAAAAGAATATAAACAAAGGCACAGTCATGTAACTTTCTAACATAATAAACATTTACAATGAACCAAGGTAATAAAAATTGAACTTACTAATGTGATGCATTAGCCGAAATATAAATGCATTTATTGCTTTTTTTTAACAGACAGATAAATGTTTTTTCTAAAAGTTTTTGAATGATTAAGAAAAACCTTCAAATTCACTGGAATTTTAAAAAAGATCTTGATAGTTTTTGAACCAAAATCCACAGAAATTAATAACATTTAATTTTGTTTGCCAAACTGTTATGTGTTCCTAACTTATGCATAACTGTTATAACCAATCAATTAATATTTTACATCTATAAAAATTCATTCATTCATGGTAATTGTTGAATCCAATTCATAGATTTTAAGAACATTACTGACAGTTCTTTAATTTGAGTTTAAAAAAGATTTTCATACTTGTTTTTTTTATTGTGTCAAACCACAAGTTTAAAAAAGAACATAGTTATTAGAAGTTTTAAATAAATCTAAACTAAAAAAAATTCATTGTGGAATCAATCTACTAGATTTAAAAAATAGAAAATAATAACGAATTGTTGCATATAATTGGTCAGTAATTTCAATAATTTGAACAGTGAATGTTTATTTTTAGATCATAATTTTGAATTATCACGTGGTAAACTGATTTTTAAACCTGATTTACTCAAAATTGTTTATATGTAAATATGGGCTGTTTTAATTAAGAACGCACCAAATAGTTTTATTAATAATTTTTTTATAAAAATTCATATTTTACTAAGTTTTTAATTAATTTTAATAATTTTATTATTATTAAAATCAGAAAAAACTTACTTTACAAATTTTATTTAAAGTTTAAAAATAATTTACTCAATATTTTTTTCAAAAAATATAAAAAAAAATTTATAATTAAATTTATATATAATTTCAAAATAATACACTCTACTTTTAAAACAATATAAATGTCATTTGTTTCAAAATAATTTTATTAATTTAATATATAAGATTTAATAACATGCAAACAATTCCGATTAATTATTATTTTAAAAACTTTGGATTGGTCGGATTGATCTTAGATTCAACCGAAATTTCAGTTTCGAATCAAACCGAATTGTTTAATCTGAATCGGGAACACTAATCGGAACCAATAAAATAATGAATATCTTCATGTAACAAAAACAAAGCAAGAAAAAAAAAACCAATAAACCATAACACAAAATTTTACTATGATATCCTGTTTTTTTGATCTCGAAGTAGGAATGGTGAATACTTTCATTAATAATAAAAATGGAATAAAATGTAAATTATTATAGCCAATCAAATCTGAAATTATTTCAAAAATTGAATTTTGATTGGATACCAAAAATAAAATGAATTGAAAGTATTCGTCATCCCTACCTCGAATTAAAAATTTTTAGAATAAAATTTTATATGGTAATATTCTTTTATACAATAAAAGTAATAAAAAAAAAAGCGTCTGTATTATCTACTTATCTAAATTGTGATCGGAAGATTTACAGAACATAACGATAAATTATTTACTTATAAAATTAACAGTTCAACCAATCAAAAAAAAAGGAATTATGATATGTAAACAGTTATAAACTTACAGTAATGCTTGAATTCGGGTATTTTTAATTAGATATCCAGATAGATATTCTATTTATATTTCCTTTAAAATCTAAAATTTTTATAAATAGGTGTGTTTTTTATTCAGTTATCTGATTCTAATCCGGTTATATTCAGAAAAAAAAACTGAATATACATGATCGAACATCACATAAACTGTAATTTTAAGTAAAGTAACTTAAACTTGCATCACAGAGATAACGATAATAATGCGATAATCTTAGATTTACATGTGGTTTTTTCACGTGTCGTCTCTTTTTTTTTTTTTTACTTAGTGTTATTAGCGTTAGTTCCTAACACAAACGTTTCTTTGTATGATCCTTGATTGATGTTCAATAAATGTATTTTTCACATAACGTTATCATTAAAAGTAGAAAAAAATTATTATTAATAATATAAAATACGGAGTAAATAATAAAAATACGTAGTAATCATAAAATAACCAATTTTCACTCATTTCATTATGATACGTATTACGGATTAATGTTCTATTTGTCCTGTAATATTTAATTTCGATTTTTTTTTATCTTTACAGTTTTTGTTACATTTTTTTTTATATTGTAATATATAGAATTTATATAAGAAAAAGATGTGTATGTGAAAAAAAATAAAAAATATGTATAATCAAGAAACAAATAATAATAATAATAATAACAATGATAAGATCTGTTGTCTATTCTGTACAACAAAAAAAACTTGAAAGACAAATTGAGAAGAGAGAGGAAATGACAAAAAAATTTTTTTTTTTTTAAAGAAAAGAAATATACAATTCTATCTATTTGTACAATAAAAAAAACATTCTAAATGAAGAGCAAAATGCTAAAATTAGTACAATGATTTTTTTATGTGAAAAGTGTAGTTGTTTATACAGATGGATTAATGAGTTTTTTTTTTTTGAACGAGCTCAAGTTGTATGAATGGAATTTATCTCTGAACTTTCTTCTACTTGGGATGTACCGATGTAGCCGATGTAACCGATTCAGTAGAATGAAGTGTGAAATGAGAAATTCCTAAACATCAAAGTAACGTAAAGTGAAAGTGATCATACATCAATCGGATGGATGGAAATTGAGAGTAACAGTGTTCTCACAATCCGATTAAGACCAAAGTATCAGCAGTACATTACTGACATTCATTAAATTATATATACATAAAGGTGATTCGTAGGAAAACCAACTTGCTATTGGATACAACAGCATATCGTGGTATGGTTATTCAAATCGTTCTGATTTGATACATTGTCTGTAGAAGTGTATGTAGAAGCGTAAACCGTATTTGAAAGTGATTGATTATTTCGAGAAAACATTTGCCAACTCGAAGTTTTTTGATTATCATAACGAGAATTTAATGGAGAATCAGAAGCACCTGTTGTACTAAGAATATCATTAGATTTAAACCATTCATCTACTTCAGACCCATCAGTTAAATTTGGAATTTGCGGCAAATAAGAAGTTCCAGATAATTGATGGCTTGTTGTTCTTGCCGGTGGAACCGTAGAAATTGGAGAATTTTTACGATTATCGAATGAAACTAAATATATATTTTTAAAAAGATAGAAGTATTTTTAATGGTTTGAAAAAGCGAATTGAAAAGAACTTTAGAATTAATACTAGAAATATTATGTTTTAATTACCTGAATTCTTGTTATTTAATGAAAGTGTACCGTTATCTTTGCGTTCTTGCCATGTTTTTTTATTTTGTTCGAGATATGGTATACAAAATTTCATTTCTATAAGATAAAAATATAAATATAAAATATTAATTTAATTCAAAAATACATATAAAAAGACATCAAAATATTAAATGTAATAAAAAATGTACCATGTATCAGATCACCAACACACTTAAATAATGGCATCGCAAAATAATCGATAAATCCTATCTGAGATTCGGATTGAGTAGTCTTTCCATTTCTATCATTTATAGGAAGAATAGGAAGACCAAGCTTTCTTTCCAAATCACCTTGACATCGGAATTCTTCAAGTAAAACTTTCGACCAACTAGCCGCTATATGATAAGGTCTAGCCTAAAATAAAATAAAAATAAAATAGAATAAATAAAATGTTTAGAACATTTTGCATCATATTTTTCATAATATGTTTCATAATATTTTTTGTAATATTTTTCATAATATTTTTCATAATATATTTTTTATAATATTTTCATAATATTTTTCATAATATTTTTATAATATTTTTTATAATCTATTTTTCATAATATTTTTCAATATAAATGATGACAACATACAGCATTACTAATATCAGCGCATTTTATTAACGCGCCGATAATCACATCCCGACCTCGTTCTATCATAGGTTGAGAATCGAACATGGTATCCGAAGATTCGAATCTTTTTATTTCATCCTTTATTTTAGTAACATAATCATTATGTAAACTCATGTCTGTAGCAAGTATTGCATTCACCATGACTTTACGGAATTCTATTTTTTTTTTTTTAAAAAAAAAAAGATTTATTTATTATAAGAAGGAATTGCAAGAAAAATGAAAATAAATTAAAGATAAATAAATTACCATTATATTTTGTATTATATATTGAGCCGTTATTATTATCATATATTTTAAAGCCATGTTTTTGCATCATATTAAATAATGTCATGGCGTGAAAGCTTTCCAATACGGATTTGTCATTGTATACCTGAGCCAAAGGAGTACGTGACTGAATCTACATAAGGCAATTACCAAAAACAATTATTATTATTATTATTATTATTTTACCCAAAATAAGTAAAATTCTTTAAATAAATCAAAAATAGAATGAAACAAAAGATGGAGAAAGCATACCAAGAAGGTATTATTCACTCCGGGATGACCGACGTCGTGTCCTATGGACGCCAATAATAAGGCAAACGCGTCGGTAACAGTCAGCAGATCATTAGGGCGACATCGTTGTTGATTAACATTAATACTTTGTCGCTTTGAAGAAAATAAAGGAGGAATGATTTCCATTTTATATAGAAAATAAAACATTGCTTGCAAAACATCGACGGCATGAGTAAAATTATGGTATGGATTCGTATCATAATAGGATTGACGAATGGCCACAAGAAGTCGATGTAATTGATCTAAATAGAAAGAAATAATAATTAAATATAAAAGTATAAAAGAGGTATAAAAATAATATTGTAATAGTAAATAAGGATACCTGATGGCACGCATAATTCTTTGAGATCATCAATCATCATCACGTGATCGAATATTATAAAGACACATTCTAACAAATCATCTTCAGATAATTGATGAGGATTAAAATCCCATTCAGATAACTTTTTTTTAAGAAGATTCCTTCTTTCTAATTCAGCAGCTTGATTTAATCTAAAAGCAAATAATTTAAATTATATAAATAAAATAAAATAAAATTGAATAAAAATGAATAAATAAATGAATAAATAAATAAATAAATAGGGTAGGATACCTTGGGGTAAAAGGTATTTTGATAATAGGCTCAGGAGGAGCATAGTATTCAATGATAGCTTTCGCTAGCCTAAACAAAAGTAATGGCATGAATTAAAGGTAAAAAAGATGCCAATCACTGATAATAAATATATATTTTAAAATTATACCAATTTTCTTTCTTAAAAACTTCTTCAAGTCTCTGTTCGAAAGAACAACTATTCCGTATAGCAGGTCTTCGATAATCTATTAGAGATATTGGATATTTGTTTCCCGAAAATCTATGTGCATTCTAATAAAAAAGGTTCAAAATTAGTTCGATATAATGAATAATAATAGCTAATCTAATAAATATAAATATAATAAATATGATGAACATAACTAATCTAATAAATATAATAAATATAACTAATCTAATAAATATAATAAATATGAAAAATATAAAAATTGAAAGTACCAAAAATATAGTTTTTGCAACTTCAGGCCTTATGGGTTTTATTAAATAGTCTGTAGCGCCTTTATTTATACAATCAGTGATTACATCAAAAGAATCTTTCCATGAGCATACTAAAAAAAAAAAAAAGTATAATAAGTATTATATCGAGATTGAGATTAATATATAACATCTAGACATCTTCATGTATACTTTAAGGATAAATATGAACATACCAATTGGAATGACTTGATCCAACATTCCTTGGGATATTTCCTTAGTTATATGATTTAAAAATTCTAGACCATATAAAGTATCACTTGTTGTTGTAATTTCTGCAAGGTTTATAGAATGTAACGAATCAGGTGCAACGAATGAATTCTTTCGTGCATATAAATCACGACTAACACCTTCGGTGTGATCAATGTCTATTATTAATATCGTAGGAGGACATCCTACAGTTCTACGTCTTAATATTGATAGTGCTTTTCTACCTGACGGTACCGTTGTAACTTTAAAAAAAAAAATTTTGAGATTAACAAAATCAAAAAAAAAAACATGTATATATATAAATATATAAAATAAATAATAACGATAATAAAATAAAATAAATAGGTTAAATAAATAAATAAATAATAAAATCAAGATTTAGAACACATGTAATGAAGAGTAACAAATTACAAAGTTATTAACAAATTGACAAAGTTATTAACAAATTGACAAAGTTATTAACAAATTACTAAAGTAATTAACAAAATACAAAAATTGTTACCAAATTATCAAGTAGCTAAAGTTAAAAAAGTACAAGAAAGGAAATATATGACGAGAATATGATTCACGAATGAATTATGATATAAAAAAATATAAAAGTATATATAAAAAACAGAAATTAGAAAAAAAAACATACCTTCAGAGAAAATTGATAAAAAAATTTTAACCAAATCATCAACATTTTGTTTATTGCCCTCGCAAATGCACCCGTCACCGCAAGCAGCTAAATATGAAAGACTTAAAGTCCTAGAGTCCTCAGAATTTGAGAGTTGAGAAGCATGATAAGTTCTTTCATTACAAGAACGATCAACTATGAGAACCGAGTAACGACTTGGTTCCATATACAGTGGAGACAAAGGTGACAGAACCGAGTCTGTCGGGGTGGTTGGAACAAAATTGGGAGCCAGTGGAAAAGATTTTTAAAGGGAAGTAGAATGATAAAATGGTATAAAGTTCTTCTTAATTTAAGGATAACAAAAAATTGACAATATGAGAATGGAACATATGCAAAAAAAATCTATTTACAAAAGATTTGTAAAAGTATTCTCTATTTAGGCAAGTTTAAAAGAAACTAAAAAGGTGTATGGTGCGGGTATATGCGCTACAACTATGCAATAAGAACGAGGAGGTATCGATAAATGTATGAGGAGAAAATTAAAAGTATCTAAGTTAGACTGAGAGGGAATACACAAGCCACAACGAGTTAGCGAATGCAAAGAAGGAAACTTGTAAAAAAAGAGTAATGTACAAAAAAATTTTTATAGTCTATCTATTTCGGGAAGCAATAAATAAGAAAGAAGAAAAAAAGAAAATGAAATGATAATGGTAATGAAATTAATTATATAATGTCTCTAAAAATTAAAAGTACAAGAAAGTGAGAAGAGAGAAAAATACGTAACGTAATAGACGTGAATAAAAATAAAAAAAAATCCTAGTGATAATTGTTCTCCATTAGATTTAATATGTTACGGAATGCCGGAAAAGTCAGTGCTCACAGAAACTTGATAATAAACCTGTAACATAACCTTACCCGAGGCTATTTTTTTTATTATATTTGTCATAAAAAACAACGTGCATAAATACGTATAAATAATGGTACGTACATACATATAAATTAGAATTTAATTGTATTAATTGTAATAAATTATAAATTAGAATAAATTATAAATTAGAATATGTATATACACACATATATACACATACATATATACATACATATATACATATATATATATACATATATTTAGATATTATAAAGTATAATATAAATTTAATTAATCTTTAATAATCATAGATTTTTGATAGATTTTGATAGTAAGTAGCGGTAGATAGATGTTCATTAAATAAACCGCCACTCGGATCATGGGATAAAAAATATTAAATTACCACATTACTAGATTTGTAAATCTATTAATATTACAAGAAACATTACTTGCTCATGATTATGTCAAATGTAATACCAGTAATACCAGATTGCTAATAATCTTTAAGAAAAACATTTTGAATAAGGAACGTGGTAATTTTTAATGATTAACAAGCAAAATGATAACCAAGATAACATAGGCACAGAGAATACATAGAATATATAAGTAAACTATGACGTAAGTGAATACATAGCGATAAGTGAAATGCATAAGTGAAATACATAACTATAAGTGAAATATATACGTAAGTGAAATACATAACGATAAGTGAAATATATAAGTGAAATATATATAGCGATAAGTGAAATACATAAGTAAAATATATAACGATAAGTGAAATACAGGAGTAAAATACTTGGGGTAAAATATGATAATTATTATACATATATAACAGATACATAAAAAAACCATATACGTACATATATGTACAAGAATGATGGATTCTCTATACAGTTATCGTTACGAATACGAATATGAATATGAATATGAATACGTATGAATATTAGGGCCACGATTAATAGATTAATAGATTAATACGTAGACAAATAGACTAATAGACTAATAGATTAATGAGGCGCAAAAAAAAAAAAAAATCTAAAAAAAGAATTATCATTTAGGAATGACCAGCTGATGACGATTTGTATCCGGATTAAAAAATCTTTTTTCGCGTTGATACACGAAAATCTAAAAAGTGTGGAGATAACCAGAATTAAACAGGATTCGTTTTTTTTTGTTTGTTCTTGCATTTAAAATGTAGTGTTACAATTATTGTGCGTCATACTGATTTTAGTAAAATGATGAAGGTTGACCAACCGGATGAAAGTTTCACTACTTGAGTTCTTTGGATTTACATTAGTCGCGTGGTAATTACATTTTCTTATCAACACGGATATTTCGACCGGTACCGAAGGTTAATCTTCCGTGAAAGAAAAAATTTTCTTTGTTTTATTATAGGTCGGTCGGTAGAATTTATCATTGTGTTTCGGTACACCAGTGAATAACCGCATATTTTTTTAATTTAGTACAGCACTAACGCTAATACGTATTTACGTACTATAGTCTAGTACTCTAGCACACCAGTCTAGCACATCAGTTTAGTTAGTACATCAGCCTAATAACATCAGTCTAGTATATTAATAATCTAGTACATTAGTAATCTATCTAGTAAATTAATCTATTTGGTACATTAGTTAATCTTGTACATTACAGTATCACTCTGATTACTATTCAGTATTATTATTCAGTATTATTACTATTTAGTATTACTATTCAGTATTACTTTGCTATACCCAGTTATTTTATTACTTTATTATATTATAATAAACACTTACTGTTTAGGCTATACGCCATTTGTACTAGCCTTAGTTTCGTGTTAATTTATTGTCATTCTTTGCCCAAAAATGAATAAAGATCATTAGCATGCGTTTTTTGGTTTTAAAGTATGCAAGTAAGAATGTAAGAATGTTAGAAAATATTATCTCATTTTATCCAATATACTTTTGTTACCCTACTTTTTTCTTGGCTTTTTTTTTTATTAACTTGATTCTTGTTTTTTGCTCTACTAAACTTAATTATTCGTTCTGAATAACTTCTAAATCTAAATTTTTATATAATCTTCCCATTTTAGGCCATTATTATACCCTTAATCTATTTTATTAATGCATTATCACGTGGCGCATTCTTTTACTCGCGTGGCCAAAAAAAAACAAAATTACGTATTTTTAATCTTAATCTAGTTTGTGCTTTTGTCATATCGTTTAATACTCTTGTCATGATTTTACGCCTCTCATTGTAATTTATTTTCAGCCGAATTATATCCATCTTATTGATCTCCTTTTTTGTACTATCTCCTGATAGCCTTCCCGTGCCAGCCCTGTCTATCATTTTCTCCACAATTTGTTCGCGTGGCAATGTGGCTACCTTTTTGACTGTTTCATTTAATTTGAATGGGTTTGAATGCTTTTGTTCGCTTCTTTACATTCTGTCGCCATCTACTCGATCAAATTAACAATGATCTCGTAAACAATCAACAAATATGCACCATAAACTTCTAGTCTATGTTCCCCAATCTTCTTTCTACCGATCTTGGAATTCTTGCTCCATCTTTAGCAATATTTACGAATTATTACCTAATGCTTTGTTTAACATTCCAAAATGCATTCTTTCTGCTTGTTCATGTATTTACATCTTCCTTTTATGTATCTAATGTTTACGTTTATAATTTTGTATCACCTTATAATTTCTTTCATTTGGATAACGTGATACCTAGGTAACATTCCTCTTGAATTTTCTAGTTAGCTCTGTTCATCCTTAACGTTAATTATTAATATATTAATATACAGATATATCAATATGTATATCAATATATATATATCAATACATCAATATCAATAAGTACGTACGTATCAATTTATCAATATAAATCAATAATATCAATTTATCAATATAAATCAATAATATCAATATCGATATATCAAATATATATATCAATTATATCAATTTATCAATATCCACTTACCACTTATTGCTACATTTTACCATACAAATCGCTGTAATTTTTTATTATGCTTAAAAAAAACTTTAATTTTTCCCCAGTCCTATCGTTTTACTATATGTACGTACTTATCCTAACAAATCCTAAAAAAAAACTTTATCTTTTTTTTTTTTGTTTGAATCATTCTGTTTTATATGTACGTATGTAAGTAACGATGTTGCCCAAACTATTTGGGACGTCCCAAACCTATGTGATGAATAACATCACACACTTTCAGCAATAATAATAAGGAGGTAAATACCTCCTGCGAAATCATTCATCACATAGTTTGGGACGTCCCAAATAGTTTGGGTAACATCGCTAGTACGTATTGTACATATAAATTTTCTATTAATACATTTCTATGTACATACGTATGTACTTACATATTGATATTAAGCAAAAAGAGGTTATTTTCGCCGTGATAATTATTAGTGGTAGTTATCACTGTTACATGCATTCGATATTGTTTATACGTACGTTGTTATGTATGTATAAAATTTACAAAATCGATAAACAAGTTCACACGACACAATACAAAATCTTTTTTACGATTTCAGTAAGTATCTTATCGTTTCATTGTATGTCGGCGTTTATGCGTGTTTGAGATTGTGTTACTGTTTTTTCCGTTCTTAAAAAAAAATCTCAATTATATATAAATAAATTGGTTCAAGCCCTTGTCAAAAATTATAAAAACAAATTATTATTATTAAAATATAATTTTAATAGTAACAAAAATATTAAATATTTGTTTAATATATATGGAAGAGTCAATATGTAGAAAAGACAAATCATTTTTAATAAATTTTTTTAAATTAAAATAACTCTACAACTATTTAATCAAATTTGTTAAAATTTTTTTATTTTAATCTTAAAATTATATAAAATTAAATTAAAAAAGTATTAAATTTAATAAAATAATTGTTGAGATATTTAAGCTTAAAGTCAAGAAAACTTTTACTTAAAAAAAAGTTTGTCTCTTAATTTATCCTTATATTATAAAAAATTGCAATAAATTTTAAAATTAATTATTATTTTTTTATTTTTTATTTTTTTTATTTATATAATATTATAGTAGAAACTTTAAAATACAATAAGAAATTTAATTACAGAAAAAAAATTTCTAAAATAAAGATTTCTAAATTACATTTGTGTTGTTAAAAAAATAGATACCCAATGTAACATTATATCTTCTATTTTTTAATAAGTGCTATAGATAATTGTTTCAAATTATTTTTAGTTAGAATAAGTTAGAAGAAACCTTATTTAAAATTAATTAAATTTTTTATAATATATAATATATTTTAAAAATACAGAATATTATTTTAAAATTATTATATTAGAAAATATTATTAAAAAGCAGTTATCTTTCATTAATACATAT